AATAAATAAATAACTCAACTGAATTCTTCTATTCACCTCATCGTTGAAGTTGTTTCTATCTAGCTGCAATGTCTGCCCGGGCTGTACATATTTTTGAACAATTTCGAGAACGGCACTGTACGAGTATACCACAAACGGTTCCGGTAGTTCGTTCATTGAAAATGACCTTGGTTTTATCAGTGCATTCGTAGGCTGATGAGTACGGAAGAGTCAGCTAGGTCATTCAGCATCTGTTGTAGGTCCTGCAGCGTCTCTGCCATGATAACGATGTCGTCTGCAAATCGCAAGTGAGATATGTATTCGCCATTGATATTGATGCCACGCCCTTTCCAGTGCAGCGTCTCGATCGAGTCAAAGGCCTTCTCATAGTCCACGAATACCAGACACAGGGGCTGATTATCCTCTTCGGTCTCAGTCTCTTAGGAACTCGTCATCTTGGCGAAACATTAAATTACGTACAAACTACCGCGACAAAGAAGCTTGAAAATGAACTTTACTGTCAGCTTTTAGTGCTGTTAATTTTAATAGTGCTCTGATGCCCTTTATAATGAGCAAGTTAGGTATAGCCCTGATTAATTACTAGTTTTAGTACATAAAAAAGAACGAATCAAAATTGCAATAAATGTTAAAAATTATTAATTATTATATCGAAAAATAAATACGATTATTGTTATTCATTTAGACTTCTTGCAAACATATTGCAAAATGCGCAATTAATGCCACAGGCATTTTCTTCCAGTCAAAGGCTTAGATGTTGCAAATCTATGTGTGGCAGGTACATATTTGGAACAATACAATACAACAAACATAATATATGAGGCGAAATAAAAGTATATCACATAACAAAAAAAACCTACAGAAATATGGATATGTACTAGCTATACATACATATAGTTTATACATGCTATATTATAGTCATAATATATATATATATATATAATCTAATACATAAATAATAAATATACTCGTTAGTGTTATTCTGATGACTCCGTCAACAAGTCTCTATAGAGCTTCCGTACTTTAAGCTTAAAAGTGCATCGGTTAGTGGACATCCTAATTTCTAGTGGGAGTATATTCCAAAAAGTTTCAGCTTAAACTTTGAAGAAAGAATAGACCATACTAGAGATATGTGAAGGACAAAGGGGAAGCTTATCAGAAGAGCGAAGAGTTCTGTCATGATTAGAGCTAGAGATATTAATCATAATAAGAGAGAGATATTTCGCCCTCGATGTGAAAGACGTGCGTGTGTGTATGTATCAGCTATCTACATAACAGACACTTTTTGTATAAATTACAGGTGGCAAGTAAAGTCAGAACCCATTATTAGTACCTTAGGGTACATTATCAAGTTGAGGAGTACAGAGCTCGATAAATCCGATCGTTATATATTTATAACGATTGATGTTTTTCAAGTTTTCCTCCGAACCTCTTTTCCAAACTATACTTCGTAAAATTTTGCATGATACGACAGACAAATGTCACAAAACAGCGACTAGTAATATGACATAACTGGCTCAATCGATCAATGTGTAAACTGTAATCGATTAAAGATGTTTTGATTAATTAAATAACAAAATAATAATAACATAAGTATTACCAATTCATTTTTGTAATGTAAATTAATAAAAAGAAAGTAGCCTTCGTTTACGCTGACTTCCTATACCTACATGATATTTAGTAATTTAGAGGAAAATGGGAACTACACTTATTTGTTATGTACATCTAAACTATGGAGGGTAGAGGCAAGGAGGACCATCTCTGTGCATTAAAATTGTCCGTCAACCTGAGTTAAATCGGGGGCACTACAGTAGCATAAGCATATTTTTTTTAAGAAAGCACCAAAAAAACATTGAAAAAAAAGCTTTGTGATAAAATATATTGGCTTCAATAATTCAGACACTGTGTACTAGACTGCATAATCAATGCGCTTTGCAGACAATAAATAAACGTGTAATAACTTTCAGACACTAAAGTATTATAATATTTTAACTCAGCTCACTTGACTCCATCTACAACAGCTATGTTCATATCGTAGTTTTTCGTTCGCCAGCTACTTCTATTTACAGTATACAGCTGGACACTTTTTCAAATTACCCAGATATGAGATGGTTTTCCTTACCTCTACCCTCCATAATCTAAACTTAACCTTGCATCAGTCATCATCATCATAAGACATGTAGTAGGATTCGGTTTAGGAGACCCGTATAAAAAATCGCTGTAATTTCAATACTTAAAAGACATTTAGTAACATATTGTAATAATTAGATTAAACACTATTATCTTCTTCTTTTGATATTTTTATAAAAGTGTTAAAATATTATTAATAAAGTAGGTTCGTCCCAAAGATCTCCGATCCGCTCGATCCCTTGACGTTACGTGGAGATGTTGCTTCAATCTACATTCTCTATCGTATATATCACGGAGAGTGCTCCGAGGAATCATTCGGACTAATACCGGCCGCAACTTTCCGCCATCGTTCCACACAAATATCGTTCAGCAATAGTTTCATCCCCTTCACTTAGGTAAATGGCGCTCCACCACGGTGCGCTTTTCAAGATACTTCTTGCCTCGCAAAACCAATATGTGGAACAAGTTATCGTTGAAGGTATTTCCGGATCGATACGACCTTCAAGATAAGAGCATACTCCTTCCTAAAAGGCCGGCAACGCGTTTGTGACGCCTGAGTCGGAGGCGTTAATGGACGGCGGTAGTCACTTTCCATCAGATGCGCAGTCTGCTCGTTTGCCCCTTCTTCCATAAAAAAAGTAGCCAACATCTGCTCTTAAAGTTAAAACGAATATTAAAGGAAACAAACTTTTGTCAAAAACGGTAACTAATAGATATATGTATTAAATCTAAAGTAGGACTCTGAATAATATATTAGGTCCTTACATATGAAATATCTCCACTTTGGTTATGAATTCCAAATTCAAATTCTAAATTCATTTAGCTGGTACTTTTGAGTTTTAAAAACAGTCAATCATTTGTTTTTCCTCATCATTTTTTTCTTTGGCGTCGCTTATTATCGTACAATGGAAAACATGAAATATCGGTATATTTACGAGTACGAGTTCTACCGTGGCACCAGTGCTGCAGAAACACCTCGAAGGATTAATGATGTGTACGGCGCTGGTGTCGCTAGAGAAAGCACGGTACGTTTTTGGTTTCAACGTTTTCGTTCTGGAAATTTTGACCTTCAGAACCAACCCCGTGGACGGCCTGAGCCCAAAGTGGAAAATTAAGAATTAAAGGCCATTGTGGAAGCGGATCCATCACAAAGCACTTCAGAGATAGCTGCAGGCTTCGGGGTAAGTGATAAAACTGTATTAATCCACTTGAAGCAAATCGGGAAAGTAAAAAAACTTGAACGATGGGTACCTCATGAATTGAGTGAAACGAACTTGCAAACACGCGACGACTGCTGTGTTACTTTGCTCAACCGACACAATAATGAAGGGATTTTAAATCGAATCAGTACTTGTGATGAAAAGTGGATACTGTACGATAATCGGAAGTGCTCGTCGCAATGGCTGAACCCTGGAGACCCACCCAAACCCTGCCCTAAACGAAAATTTACTTGTAAGTGTTTGGTGGACTAGCGCCGGTGTCGTTCACTACAGCTTTCTAAAATTTGGCCAAACGATTACGGCAGATATCTATTGTCTGCAAGTGCAAACCATGATGGAAGAACTAGCTGCGAAACAACCGAGATTGGTCAATCGCTCTAGGCCACTGCTGCTTCACGACAGCGCAAGACCACAGTGCACAATAAACATCCACCGTACTCCCCGGACCTTGCTCTAACAGATTACCATTTTCTCCGGAATTTAGACAACTTCTTACAGCATAAAATTTAACTCCGATGCGGCAGTTCAAACTGCCTTCAAAAGAGTTAATTGATTCTTGCCCCCATGGTTTTGTTAGTAAAGGGATCAATGAACTACCTACGAGATGGCAAAAGTGCATAGATAACAACGGTGCATACTTTGATTAATTAAATATATTTAACAAAAAAAAATGACCTTATATTCCACCCGTACAAAACGCCAATTTCATATGTAAGGACCTAATATTATACTATATATCAATCTCATTAGTCAGTCGTATTATCTTTTCCATCTGCGCAATCTCAGTATAACCTTGCGTGCTCACTGCAGATATATTCGTTACAGCCCCAACAAGTGTAATCATTTTTCCTATCTTTCTTGGCAGGACAATCTTGACATGTTTAGTTTGAGGTGGTACACTGTGACGCACAATTACTTACGAGTCAGGGTTAAACTTTTTTAACTTTGTGTCCGCGATGCTTCTCTATTTAATATTTATTTATTTATTTATTAAAGATTCACTAACAACTGTTTACATTAATTCCTTAAACTAATACATGCCATTTAGTAATAACAATGCAACCGCCACTTATAGGTAAACACCGCTTATACTTTAAAAATAGATAAAAAGGTTGACTGTTTCAAAACAATTAATGAAAAATTCTCACAAAGGGAAAGTATTAATACAATACTTTAGTTTTTTAATTTTCATATTACATTTATTGCGTCATAGCAAATCACTAAGGACGGACTTTTTCTTACAAATTGTATCGAAGTGTAAGTCAATGACATCGCTGTAGTGATTCACTACTTTACACATTCTTGCAAAGGGAGAATTGGAACCAAGAACTGTTCTTCTCAGCGGGGAACAAAGTGGGAAGTAAAAATATGGTGTATACGAACGAGGAGGGAACCGGTTTCATTATATTTTCAATTACTCCAATTTATTTCTGTTTTATTTCGTTGCAGGTTCCAAGACAATTTAACATTTCCTGGGACTTCCCGAGTGTCATAACTCGGTGTGTTCGTGTCTCACCGCTGTTTATCCGTTGAGTGTGTGTTACCGGAGGGTCTTATGAATAGTTGTGAGACTTGATAGTACACTGCAATAATCGATGTTTTCGTCACCTCATGGGGCACATTAGAAAGGGGCACATGTGATACTCAATAAATTTACTTAAAAACTTCAGAGATTGATTGAAATTTGATCGCAGAGCTGGGAGGCGGTGTGAGGCGCGGGGAAGGGCGGGGCACTCCCTCATCGTTGAGGACGACACTTGAAGGTACTTCAACGCGAAGAGCCAATTCACACAATATGCTCTTGAGCAACCTCCTACCCATCCACCCCTCGGTGTCGTAGCATCCTCTGCATTCCTCACAGTTTTGGCAGTAGCTTCGCGAAATATCAAACGTGTGAGACATAAGCCACAGATAAAATAAGTGGAACATTTTATAACTGTATAAAATTTAACAGAGAGAGACACTTATCAAAATTTAAGTAATTTAATTAACGAATAGCTGATCTATCGACCATTTATGCATTCATCTACTTTTAGTTTTTTTTTTAGAAAATATTGTATAAAAGGGAAAAAGATTTTGGGAATTGACTCTTTCGCACAGTGCTCCACGTAATTACATCTAGTTCAAATATGTTGATATCCACCCGGGGTGAACATCAGAACCTCGTGATCTCGAACTCAGCGCTGAAAAAGTCAGCCATTCAACAGAGGTAATGCAACACCTTACATGAGTCCGCCTATGTCGCTTATACCGATCAGCGTCACTACCACATTGTAGTACAAAGTATTGGTATAAATCGGTGATCACTTCCATCAGCTGAATACTTGTGAAACAACAACTTATCTGGCACAAGTTAATAATTTAGAAGAGCCTTGTGGAATTAAACTTAAAAATCTCAGGGTGAATGGGGCGAGGAGTACCTAGTAATAGTATTATTCAAAATACCTTTGTGAAAGAAAAATACTCTACCTTGACAGAGCCATGCTTTGTCATGCTATGCCATGATCAGTGTCGTTGAGTCACCCCCTCCCCTAGTTGTGGGAGTGGAGGCAAGTAGTTATTTTGTGACTCTTAGTTGCAGGTAGCCATCGGCGGCAGCAGTTACTTACTATCAGGTGAACCATTTGCTCGGCGTTAAGACCCGTTATGGAGGATTGGCTCGAGAGGCGTCACGGGACCCTCTCATACCGACTGACGCAGGTGATCACTGGGAAAGGATGTTTCAGGGATCACCTGTGTCAAGGAGCCAACGCCTGAGTGCCACCACTGTGATGGCCAGACCGTGGACACGGCTCTCCACACGCTGGCAGAGTGCCCGGCGTGGGTTGAGCAGAGGCGAGACCTCGTGGCGTCCATCGGAGTGGGAGTTCTCTCGCTCGATAGCCTGATTGAGGCTATCGTGCGGAGCGAGAGTGCGTGGAACTCTGCCGTCTCCTTCTGCGAGCAAGTTATGCTCGCGAAGGAGACGGCGGAGCGGTACCGGGAGAGGTTTAGGACTCTCCCGGCCCGCCAGGCCCGGGAACGGGCCAGGTACCGCAGGCGACTCAGGCGCCGGAGGTCGCAGAACGACCTCCGTCCTCCATAAGCGCAGGCCTGGGGGTGACAGGTGAGGCCATCTGTCACCCTAGCAGAAGCAGGCCGGGGTGGCGGCGAGCGCGTTGCGAAGCGCGCTCGCTTCCAGGGAGCACAGGGAACATGGGTTTCCCACACGGGGGGGGGGGGGGTCTACTCGTCTGTAGATGACCCGAGGTATCTCGGGGCACCAAGGACTTCCTTTCTAGGGTATACCTGGTTCCCCGGCTATTAGTACCCGAGACGGCGTGCGGTTTTAGTCGGTTCGAATCCGACATGCCACCGATAGGTGGTATCCGAGGGGATTTCCGCACGGAAAAAAAAATAGGTGAACCATTTGCTCGTTTTCCCACCTATTCTGTAAAAAAAGACGATGTAGGGTTTTGAATTAATTGAGCTGAAAATAATGTTACAACGAATGAAGTAGCTGCTGGTGCTAGGTCCGACGGTTGATGTTTGTTTCAAAAACTTAACAACAATGCGCTTAACGAAGAAGTAGGATGAAGTTTGAAACATGACAACGTGGCGTGGCATCTAATCATGAATAATTAATAGCCATCGACAAAAGGCGCCCAAATTAATTCTCGTCAAAAGTGAAACTGTCGATAAACGGAAAGTGGTTTAGTAGCGGCATGAAAATGATGTCCCCGCGCCACTCACTGACGCTAATGGACGAGGCAGCGAGGGAGGCTCGCTCTTCACGTGTCAACTTCTCAATGGATTTAGATTAAACTTAGAGTTTTATATTTTCATAAGTTTCACTCATGTTAGAAATAAAACGTTGATAATAATAAGTCTAGAATAGTGGATAATAATACTATGTATTACAAGTTTACGAACCGCATTAGCTCCGTAGAACGTAGGTCACGTTTAAGTAGTCTTTAAGGGAAAGGACTTAGAATATTCCAATACCGGAAACAATTAGTTTCCGGTATTGGAATATTCTAATTGTAAGTAAAGAAATAAGAAGCTGTCACCGGCGACTTCGCACACACGTAAATTGAAAGTCAACGTGCAGTGTCTATGTTTGTTGTATTATGAATTCGTCTAATTTAAATTGTATCTACAAATAAATACTTAAAAAAACCTGAACCAACTTCAAGTAACACTATCTAACGGTACCTACCGCAAAGTGAAACTTAATTGATTACAGTCTGAATTAAAAAGACTAAATAAAATAATAGTCTTAGTCTCAACATAATAGATAATATTATAAAGTTTCGGAAGATTTCTTCTGTTTCGTCTGTTCGCAAGAGCCACAATAAGTTAAAGCTGCATATCGGTTATCAAGGGCACTAACATTTAGATCTTCGCGTTCCATTGGATATTATGATGTACACGTACGGGACAACGTTTCGATCAAGTGGCACTGGTCTTGGCCAGCGGTAACCTGTGACCGTGGTCGCCTTTATTTACGTACTCATCACTACACTATCAATAAAATCCAGAACGATGATTACTATATCAATACTTTTATCTGAACTATAATTTGTTTGACCAGCAATTTTGTTAACAATAAGCTTCATACAACATTCAGTTTAGTTAATGTTGTACTTTAAATGTACAATATAAGCTCAGTTCATAACTACTATTTACTGTTTCGTTGTGTGTTAAATACCGGCATTACATTGTTCCCTGTACGACGGCCGGTGATGGTGATGTTGGCAGACAAGTTATTGCTGGTATTCGAACAAGTTGCAACCGCGTGTTATCCGCGTTGAGGTGCTGTAACTCAACATTCACTGATTGTAGTGTGGAGCGGCCAAATATTGTACTGATTGTATAAATTCGATCCTGTTATTTGAATCCGTCGGCGCGCGCCCTTCCATTCGAGCCAAACCCAAACTCACCTTCTTACTTGTCAACGTGAGTTCAGCCTTAGTACCTAATCATTTCCTTTGTGGATACGAGGGACTCTATTTTCTTTTTCTATTAATTTCAGAATTTTAGATTTTCATGGATCGTTCTCATAGTTGTGCTTGCTTATGTCGATTTGTTATGCCCAAGGACGTTTCGCGGAGGGCGCATTCCGGTGTGTTAGTCGATGCTCATAAATAATATGTTAGTGTAAGCCGATGTGACGCGAATATCAACAGTTATTGCCAAGAAAGTGCGCGAGGGTGGGGGGGGGGGGGTAAGGGGGCTTGTGTGACAGAGTAAGACCGCTCATAAATCCGCGCCGTAAGCCGCAGGATTTGCTTGACAACGCGTGACCTCAGCCTCAAAAGTTGTGTAAATAAACACGCACCAATTCGACGCGGTGCGGCGGCGTTGGCAGCGCGTCTGCAGCTCCTCATGAATGATAATGTATGTATGTGGCGAAGTACTTTTAACAAAAATATTAATAACTCAATACTTATTACCTTATTCTGTCGTTGAGTGTATGCTTTTCGTTTGTTCCGCGCTGCTGCCACGCAGGTAACCGCGCGCATCGTTGCGTTTACGTGGCTTGTGGCACGTGTCGCGTGGCGGCATGGAAACGGCACGTCACGCATTAAACGTACCGCACGCATCACATGTAGGTCAGGGGCAAGTTGCGCCCCGCGCACTTCACACCGCTCACCCTGCGTTATCGCCCGAAGGACGCGGCGACGTGGGACGAGGGGTGGGGAGGGACAGGGCAAGGACGAGTGCGCCGCCCGCAGCTTCCGCGATCTTGTCGCGACATCCCGGAAGTCGGCGAAAATGAACCACTGCTATCATGAGACGCACCTAGTCTTCACTACGAATAGTACATACATAAATATAAAATAAAAATTGAATATTTTTTACCGCACAGTACGTTGTAAATGCAATTAGTCTTAATTGTAATTAATTTAATCCTGGATTGGTTTAGTTCTTGTCTGATCAAGTATCAACATATACAATACATTTACTTAAAGTTAGGGTACAAAAAATCTTAAATATGGATGTAAGTTATTAACTACTAGTCATTCGCTAAAGCATAGAACACGGTGTGATGCTGATGATTAACTATAGTAGGGGAGCCCATGATGCTAAATGGGGATTTACTCGAGCGTCATGGGCACCTATTGCATTTGAAAGGTACAGGTTTTCAAAAATATAAAGGGAGGAAATCGAAAAAAAGGAAATTTGGGCGCATCAGATATTGTGGAATATGTTAATTGGACGCCAAAAATGGTCCCACTAATAAGCCTAACGATTTTAAAGTGACACAAGCTGGTAGCGAATTATCGAAAATGCAAACTGTAAATTCGAAATTCGCCATTTAGAAATACCCGAGCGTGTTAGATTTCAAATAAAAATAAATGTTTTTTTTGGACCTTTGTGACCCTCCCACTGCGTCAGGCTTAAATCGTCTGATTTTTGTAAATATACACTAGACATGTATGTAGTTGACTCGACTTACCTTAATCTTACACGCTCGAGTATTTCTGACCATTGTTTTTTTTTTACAAACCTGTAAATCTGATTCGTAAAAAAAACGATGGCAGAGGTACTCAACTGGGTGTAAGGTATTCCTTCTATGTTAATCTGCCACGCTCGAATAAATAATAAAACCCCTTCTAGGGCTTCCTTACTACTAGCTTCACATGCGTCATTCGTGGACGTGATGGTACGTGGGAGCAGAGAGGCCACTTTTTGAATAAAGTGTGAAAAACGATAAAACGGTAGTCAACAGGCCAATCACTTCTACAGCTGACCACCAGTACGCATGTAAGTGACAATACAGATTCGATAAGACTATATATGTATATCCTTAAAATGTAATTATTATGAAATAGGTTCTAAAAATTTATTTGATACGCACCTATGACTATGAAACAAGTAAGTACACACGTAGCACACGCCTCTTAGTACGTAGCAAAAAACACTGTCGTGTTTTTGAGGAATGGAAAAAGCTGTTAATCCTGAAGATCCTAAACAGAATAATCGGCCAAATTTATCAAATTATTGTATTATCAACGGCCCTCGATAAGTGTGCGAAATTTCAATTTAATTCGACGTTTTAAAATGGATCAAAATCAAGTTCGAAGATTCCGTTGCATACAAACATACATAACAAGCTAATAAAAGCGTATTACAAAGTGATCTGTGTACATTGTAGCGTAGAGCTAGAAGACGCTACGTGAGCTACGCTCATGTGCCAGACAGTATTTGCAAGGCGATGCTGTATTAGCGGACGAGTGGCTCATTCATCGTTCATATCTATCCACCAACGAACTATTGCGAGTTACAATGTAACGTCGCGAGGAGTGATGGCGGACAGGGGGCGGGAGTGTCCGGTACGTCAGGCGGCTCTCGATAAACGACCCCGGGATCGTGTTATGAAACACGAGATTACCCTCCCGAAGGTTTATCTCGCAGCGAAAGCACCCAAACCTCTCCCTCCTCCCTCACTTCTGCCCCGTCGCGCACAGGTCACATCACACCGCACCGATTTGATTCACCACCGTCTTTGACTAACGGCAATCGTTAGATTTTGTAGATTCAGTAGATGCAGGGCAAAAAAGCGGGTACGAGGAAGTAGTCACAGATTTACATTGCAGTTTCGTTTTATTCATACAATACAATGAGCGTTAGTCTTATTCAATGAGGTATAAACATACAAACAAAGGTAACTTAAAAGTCAAACCGTTTATACTTGTGTACAATATAAAATATTCAGGTTCGATACTTATTTCCATACATTGGGGACTATCACCAAAGATTACACTATAGCTCTACAGAACAGTCATACGACCAATAATCACGTACGGTGCCATTGTCTAATGGCAAAGAACAGAGCTAAGCGCCGTCATAAACAAATTGCAGCAATTCCAGCCACTCCCATGCTCTGCAGCCACTGGCTGTAAGCGCACAACGCCAACTGCCGCATCGGCTCTTGGTCTGCCCCACTGGACTTGTTCGGATCGTACTTCAAATTATGAGATAAATTAGTGGCAAACGAACCACTAATAGCACCTTCATGCGATAGGATCCCATAACTTCACAAAGAGATATTCAGAAACAAGAAAACCACCGAGATCAATTAATGAATGAAGTCCGAATTTACAAAAACGATTCCAAGACTGGTTTAGGAACTGAAGCCGGAATTTTCTCACAAGATCTAAACTTAAACATATCACTAGCGTTAAGCCAACATAGTACCATATTCAATGCGATTGTGTGGGAACAAGTTACGCCGTCACAATGGGCACATCACTGTCAGACAGCATGGCCGTCCTAAAGGCATTTGAGCACATTACAATTACCTCTGGTATTGTCTTCGAATGCCATCAAGCATTGTACCAGCTAGCCACAACAAATGGATTAAAGGCACTGTAATTCACACGGGAATGACGCCGCAGATGAGCTGACAAGAAGGGGTGGGGCAACTTCGGCTACCGGCCCATATATACTCCTGCCACTGCCTTTCAACCAACTTTGATCCTGAACTAGTCAACGTACTCGTGAAGCGCACTACCGAAGGTGAAAAAACTCAACCGGCTGCAGACATTCCTAACTGGTGCTGATTGAAGTCACACCACGACTTACTTGAAGATTGATCAGTCTAAGCAGAATAGAGGAACTATAACAGGACACCTAGCCCTGAACCGACAACTATTCACCATTAATGCGATGGACAGCCCTCTTTGAGGATGTTTGAAAGTAGAAGAAACGGCCGCCGCGTAATTCTGGAATGCGAGGGAGTGACCACACAATGGGCAAGTATCATACCTGATACAAAATCGCTCCTAGAAGCCTGTCGACGCCTCTAGAGGCTTCTGCGCTTCTGGAAGGAGCGAACCTTTCCTCAACGCAAAAAGGAACATTCTTGACTCATGTTCACTAATGCTCATTATTTCTTTGGATTTAACTCTAATTGAACTCATAGACATAGGTCGGACACCCGCTACTAATGATCAATGTACTCGTAGTACCACCTTTAAGCAAACTGGTGAGTTTCACATGTAGCTGTGTGTATTTTATCCGCAGCAACAAAACACCCAATTAACGTTTTTAATTGCCGCCAATAAATGGTCGCCGACTTTTTTCAAGATTTCAGTGAATGAAAGTTATGTGTCAACTTTGCCGTGAGCGGCGCGATTCTTGTCGAGTTGCAGCGCATTTTATACCACCATTGTATATTGCATATACACCGCACACATATACAACAACGGTATTGGCCTCCGGAAATAACATGTTCAACTTATTTTTGACATGAGCAAGCGCTATGCAGCCAATAACCGAATCCCGGCACTGGCGTGCCACTTTGCTCGAATAAAATCGCCTTTTAGAGCTCAATACGTTTTATTGGTGCTCAATGAAAGCGTGGTAAGAGTGCCACACTCAATCTCGAACGGGCAATAACAAAACACGCGAATATGTTCCGATGCCTAACTTTTGAGAGGTGCAGTGTCGACTAAAGTAATTGCGTTACATACCTATAACTCTCTCAACATATTGTGAAAAGGAATTATTACACTACTCCACACTGTGTGCGTGTCGTTTGTTGTCGGAGACAATAGGTTACTTATATACTGAAATATATCATTGAAACACGTTGTGGTGACTCCCACATACAAGGGAAACAGAAACATACTACAGCGCCATCTAACGAAACACACCGCACTACGGAGTAACTCCTGAATGAGAATTGCTGTATCCTGTATCGCAATATGAAGGATTCTCTCGCCGAATTGATGTCTAAGATTTTCTGTGTCCTGTATGTAATTCGTGGGTCATCTCGCACAAGCATTTCAGTAGACCACACATTTTCTGCTATGACTGCTGTTGGCGGGTCTGTCATCATCTTCAAGGCTAGTTATCCCTCTTTTAAATTCGTTAAACCATCTAAAAATGGTTGCCTGAGAAGAAGCAGACTAACCTAAAGCTGATTTTAACCGTTCTAAGCTTAAATCTTCAGATAAACCACGTTAAAAGTCGTAATATATTATAGAACGCAAATGTTCACATTCAAGCTCCATTGTCGCAAACGAGAAAGTGGGAAATGATGACAGTATAATACTTCTAATTTCTTTTTTAAATTGCTGCAAATGCTCTTTTGTGTTCGATTATCATATAAATTTGCCTTTTAATAACATATGACACAAATTTTCAAATTCCGAGCATTGTCAAAACTTATATAGTGACCCACACAACTCACAACAACTTACAACTAGAATATCAGGTAGGCAAACCAATATGTACTGAACGTGCTATTATTTGTGTTACTACAATAATGAAATCAATAATCTTTTAAACAAACCCACGCTTATGACAGTGCAAACAAATCTTACTTGTGTACACTTGAGACTCATTCAGGAAATCAGTCAATAACTATTAAATATAGTGAGATTATTGTCTACGATACCGTGATACTCCGACGTCTGCAGGCCGGTCCCGCGCATCATCTGCGGGCCAGGCGGCGTTCTCTCTACGTTCCCTAGCAATTAATGCAATTTAAACCTTTTCCCTTTCAAGCAATTGAACGGTTCAGACGCGCTCTAATGGAATGCCCATTATTGATCTTAATGAAATAATGGCACCAACGATAATTACGTCATACTGTATTAACAGAACACGAAAACGGCTCTTTTGTATACCTACCTATAGACACGTATCAGTTTTTATTTGAACAGGACATGTAAAATAATATTTATTTGTGTAATCTTTAAAAGCATTTCTTTCGCCAATACAATGGTTCAATGGGTAATCAAATTATAGAAAATAAAAGAGACCCCT